TTAACAGACATCCAGGGTAGTCATGTACTGTGAGACCCAGAGGATGGTGATGACTTGGAGCATGTGTGCATTTTCAGTTTTATGATGTGACGACAGCAGCACTCAGATGCTGGTTAACATTTGTAGGCCCTGTGGAAGGAGCGAGTTTCCATGAGGGATTTTGTTGGAGGAAACCCCTCTGCCTGGCACACATAGTTGAGGGAGGAGGGTGTTACAGGCAGGGTCAAAAAAGGGATGAGTAGTGTGATATTCTACATTGTGTGTGTTGCAGCTGGATACTTGGAATTTGATTGACTATGTTTTGTAAGTTTGTTATTTTTTCTTACAGTCTAATACAGAAAGAAATAGAAAATTATGAAGAAATTTGAAAGGAAGTGTATAGGTGTTTATGTTGAGCACAGGCACTGGCTTCCTCCTTCAAAGAGGAATCATATGAGAATTGAAGAAGCTGTATGTGATAAGAATGCATTGTATTTGCTATGTTAAGAAACCAAGATGGAAAGGGAAGACTTTGGGGCGGGGGGGATTCAGTAGGATTTAATGATAGCCTGCGTACATAGGGGCAAAGAGAGGAAGTTAAGTTGGTATCTTCAAGATGGCTTGCTGATGTGACACCGAAACCAGTGCTGTGATACTTGATTTGTTAAAGTATTTGTTCAGTATCCAAGTAATGTAGTAGTAGACCGTACCATGATTTTCCCTGCATTGTTGAACTGTCACAGAAGTCAGTATGCTTCCCATGAAGGTCTGAAAAGAATAAAGGCAACAACAATGTGGGAGACCACCAACTTCACAGTAACTTACTGTATATAAAATACTTGGAAATTTTTCAATGTCATGCTTGAGCAGCACAGTGGAAAGTTTTCAGATTATTTCATAAAGTTCACTGGCTGTATTGCATCATATAAATCATATTATTTCCTCTTACAGCCCTATCATTGTATAATTCTTTAGTGGTTTTTTTTTTCCTTAGTGTGATTAAAAAAAAGAAAAATATCTGATGCATTTTTAGTTTTTTGTTATAACTTAATCAGCTAGATGAACAAGGAAGGTCATCACTATGTGAGCATTAACTGTGTGACCATCTTGAACTCTGTTATCCAAAGTCAATGAGTGAGTTAAAGTTCTGATGAACTGACTCTCCCAGTGTTTCTGTAACAGGGAAAAAAGATGCAAGCATAGAAATGACAAATAATTTTTTAAGGCTGGTCAGGAGATAAGAGAGTCTAGATGTCATGGTCTGAGGAACCTCCACACACGTGAAAATTTTGGAATAAATGTATACAACTTACAAAATTACTGTATTATTCAATTCCTTCGTATATCTTGTGTTGACCTTAAGCTGTGAAAGATGTGCCATCCCTCTCCAAAAAAAGGATAACACAGGATAATGGAGGATCATTTTTTGCTGTTAGCTCCTTTTCATATGAGAGTATGTTAGGACAAAGCTATGGCTGAAGCTCAGAGAAATCAGCATAATTAAATTTGTCTGCAACACCCCCAGGTCCTTTTCCACTGAGCAGCATTCCAGCCATTCTTCCCCAGGCCTGTAGCGTTGCACAGGGTTGTTGCGACCCACGTTCAGGACCTGGCGAGTCGGTTGTCTTCCCTGCTGGCTTCTTTTTTGGCACATGAGGACAACCTGCTCTTCCACCTTTAGAATTTCCTTCTTGAAGAATGTTCCGCCTTCCTGGACCCCTTTGCCCTTCAGGAGTACCTTCTGAACAGGCCAGAATCTGCCCTCCAAAAATCCAAAGTAGCAGTTCTGCTGGCCCCCCTCCTTACTTTTCCAAGAGTTGAAAAGTCTATCATTTTGTGATTGCCATGCCCAAGATGGCCTCTGTCCATCACATTACCCACAAGTCCTTCTTTGTTCATAAACAACAGGTCCAGTGGGACGTGTTCCGTAGTTGCCTCACTCACCGGCTGTGTTAGGAAGTTATCTTCCACACGCTCCAGGAACCTCCTAGTTTGTGTTCCCTCTACTGTATTGTATTTCTAGCACACATCTGGTAAATTGAAGTCCCCCATGAGAACAAGGGCTAGTGATTGAGAGACCCCTCCCAGCTGCTTATAGAATATTTTGTCTGCATCTTCATCCTGGTTGGGTGTTGTATAACAGACTCCCACCATGATATCTGCCTTGTTGGCCTTCCCCTGATTCTTACCCAGAAATCCTCAACCCTATTGTCACCATCAAGTTCTAGACTATCAAAACACTCCTTAACACACAGGGCTCCACCACTGCCTCTCCTTCCTTGCCTATCCCCTCTGCAGAGTTTATAGCCATCTGTCACACCACTCCAATTGTTTGAGTCATCTCACCATGTTTCCATTATGGCAACTATGTCATGATTTTCCTACTGCACAGTGGCTTCCAGCTCCTCCTGTTTGCTTACCATGCCGTATGCATTGGTGTGGAGGCACTTCAGTTGGACTATTGATTCTGCCACTGTTCTGGGGGGAGAAGCCTTAATCGCTATGTGACCATTCTCAGGCACTTTTGTGATTTCTAACACATCATTAAGACTTGCTTTGCTGTTGCCTCATGGATCTCAATCCCCTACCTCCACTGAGATGGTGGTACACTGAAGGAGCTCGGCTAGCACACTGTCCCATAAACGTTGGTGTGCTGCCCCCAGACTTATCTCTAGTGAGCCTGGGTTTATCCTTTTCCCTCTTCAAATCCAGTTTAAAGCTCTTTCAGTGAGCCCTGCTAAGGCCTGTGCAAAGATCTTTTAACCCTTTGAGGCAGGTGTACCTTGGTACCTTGTCTGTTGCCAGCAAGCCTGCTGTTGTATAGCTTTTAGTTATATCTGTGTATATATGTGTATTCATAGTCACCTTTAGCTGTAACCATGCTGTTCAGTGGTTGGCCTGGCCCTAGAGTCATAATCGTGCACATGCTGTATATGAGATCTGACTTCAGCTGATTGAAACTCCAAAGAAAAGTGTTTGAGTGACAAATAAAATCAGGCATCTCGCATCTTCACTCCTTTGTTCTATTTAATTCTTTGTATAGTGCAGGCTTCTCTTAGGAATCTTGAACAAGCTGGAGGTACAGATTTACGAAGAGTGAGATCCAAGGAGACTAAAAAGGGATTCAGAAGACTACAGGGTTGCCCACCATGTGTTAAGCAACAATTGTTTCAGAGTACATGGTCACATTATTTGATGTGGTTACAGATAGGCAATTCCCTGCTGACAGTAAGATGAGGGATGTATCCACCAGGCCTAGCTCATCATCTGTTTGTTTCTTATATGTCTTTGAAGATGTGGATTGTGAATGAGAATAGTAGCAACATGAAGTGTAGGAAAAAGTTATATCTGAAGTCTTGTGGGCAACAGGAGATGGGAACTGGTTTAGTAGTATAAGGCAGTTGGTCTGATAGGAAGCCTTGTTACGTAAGGGTTATCAGAGAGGCAAAGAATCATACATATACCCTAGAGGGTAAGGATGCCATTCCCATCAAGTGGTTCTCATTGTGTGAGCCTGGTGTCAGAGGACTTCAGGACTCGAAGTGTCCCACAGCTGAGCTGTTTCACACTGCTTGCTTGCCTTTTTGTCCTGCCTGCCACCCACTAGGATTATTTTGTACAAGATCAGAGTTGAATGCTGTTGGGCTGAATTTGGTGTGGCATGTGTGGGGGACGGGAACAGAGAGGGAGTGGGAATGTGGTGTGCAGATGTGTGAAGGTGAGAGTAAAGCTTATCAGCTACCGGTTCCAGAGGGTGGTGGGCTTTTTCTTTTCCTGGCTCTGCTGACCAAGTCTTCCATTGAACAACCTCAATTATCCATCCATACAAGATAAAAGTACCAGAGTACTTTGTTAGGGTGTGAATACTTATAAGTTTTTAAAAATATAACCATTAGACATAGTCTTTGTTCTTTTGGCTAGCTGCTCTGTTAAAAAGCTCGTGAGACCCCGAAGACACTTTCCTTCTGTTGCATGGTATTTTTTTGTTTTCTTTCCAGTAAACAGAGTTTGAACTAGCAAATTTCTGTGAAGTCCTGTAGCCAATTTAATATTTAAACCAGACCTGTTAAGTTATGCTGTTTCCAGGAATGTCATGAGCCATCCTCCCTCTGCTAACCTGCTAGTGCCGACTTGGGGCTTGAGGAGTTGACAGCCTATGGGGACAAGGCAGTGTTTGGTGACTCTCTGGAAAGGCGGGATAATAAAAGCTCATAAGGGCAAAAGTAATGCAGCTGAGGTTTGTGTTAAAGTTATCAGCCAAGTAATTAAAAAAAAACAAAAGGGGGGAAATAAAACCAGAACTTGAGAATAGAATTGAAGTCACAGCAACTGGTGATCTAAAATGGTATCTCCTTCAGTAATGTCTGCACATATTGTTTTCAGCCCATTTTGGTAGAAACTTGTAGAGAAAGGCGACTGGAAGTTGAAATTGCTACTCTTTTATTGGAAATAATTGTCTCGAGATAAGGTTGCAAGAAGAGAGTTGTTCTAGGACTGGACCCTGAGAGCTATGGGACAGCATTGCTAGTGCTGTACCTGTTTCTGCAGAGAATTCTCTACTCTTAATATTGCTTTCTTCACAAGTCAGAAACTACAATAGTGTGTTTGCCAGATTTCCATGAACATGTCATTCCAGGTGCATGTATCAGTGTGCTCTTGTTCATATATTTTGTTGTTGTGTGCTTATGTTCCCAGCTTCAAACTAGAATTCAGCACCTGGGTTTTACTTAAGTTATACTGGTGAACTTTATATAGCTTGGTCTCTGCTTGCCGATACTTTTATTTTCAATGTGTGTAAATTCATTAAATTGCCTTATGTACAATAAAAAATGTAGAGATTGCATTTCTCTTTATTCACTTGCCAGTGCAGATGTATGAGAGTGAAGTGCACTTTCAGAAACTTCCTCTCAAAACTATTTGTAACCATGTGGTAGATAAGTAACACTTTAGAGAGAAGAGGACCTCTAGCCAAAATAATTTCAAAATGATCTCAAAGTGCAATTTATCTTCTTATTTTGCAGCTAGCTATGGACCAAATCCAATTTGCAAAGGTTGTTTATCTTGTTCAAAGGATAATGGGTGCATCAGATGCCAACACAAGTTATTCTTCTTCCTACGAAGAGAAGGAATGAGACAGTATGGTGAATGCTTGCATTCCTGCCCATCGGGGTACTACGGACTCCGAACGCCAGATATGAACAGATGTTCAAGTGAGTTGTTTTTTTTTTTTTTTTTTGAACCCTTACATTCACTGTTGTAGGAAGGCCATAACTCATGCTCAGTTTTTAAAATGATATGTTGTGGAACATAGTGATATTTTCACAGATGTCTCAAGATCATCATAAAACTTCTTTGCTAAAGAACATCCCAACTCATTCCAAGATATGTAACATTCAGCAGATTAAATAGTTGATGCATTAGCGTAGTTTTTATTGTTGTGGTTATTTTTATTGGTTTTATTGCTTTAGTTAGAAAGGAAGTTGAGGAAAGAAAGATGATCTAAGCAGATAGTCCTAATTTTAACAAACAGATTCCCACTATATGAAAATAAAAAGCATTAAGCATTAATTTAACAGTGCCTCATGTAGGAACTTGTCAGTACAAACACTAATATATGGGTGGGCTTCTTGTCATGCTTTTTTGTTCCCACACAAATTTCATGTGACCAGACACCTCGCACCAGACATACTTTAGTATGTAAGTGTTGCTATTTTAATAAAACAGATGTACTATTAAAACCAAACAAACAACCTTTCACTTTTAGTACTGCATTTTATTTGGAAATTTACAACCTGCTAATGTGCAACAAGATTCCCTGTTTGCATGTTTGTGCCTAGAAGCACAACTGTTAAAATCAACAAGTGCTCTGGTATCTCTGCACATTATTTCATTGCTGTCTGGCAGTTGTACTGATTCATATCGAGTTTTCCATATGCTCATATGTGCAGTATTACCCATATGGATTATTAATTGTTGTTACTACCTCTAATTCATATTTGTTTTTTTTTTGTATGTGTGTGTATGTCATAGTCTAACCAGAATTAAGTCACTGAACCTAGGAACCTGAAGTGAGAAATAGCTTTACTTTGCTTCTTGGAATAATCAAGTGTCTGTTCCATGAACGACATTCTCCCCCTCAGTACTGTAACATGTCACTGGGATATGCACCACATTGTGAGAAAGTGGGTGAAGGCTTTCACATCACATCACATATGATCTTCAGACCTGTGTGAGGTCAGTCTGTGGCAACCTGAGCTGGACGATGAGCACTCATAGCCATGCTTGGACCTGTCCCAGCCCATGGAATGACATCCTGCCTCTTTCCCCATTCCCTGTGCAGGCTCCATAGATATGGTATTCTTCAGGTTGCGTCCCCAACTGCTGTGTAATATTGCCAAGTGCTGCCTAATCTATACCAGATGGCTAGGTTTTGATGAAAAATTAAATGAGACCAGTATATGGTTTATGTATCCCTTCTGTAAATTAGTTTAGGATTTTGGCCTTCATTTTCATAACATGTTTATGAATTCAGCAACTTGTCCACTTTAAACCTTTCAAAACCATGCTGTAAAAACTTGCCCATATAAAAATGTTTTTGAATATAGTTACAACTTTGGGAAATAGGTTAATTTATCTGTATTAGCCTGTACTGTGCTTAGGAAATAGAAAAAGTAGTCTGTACTGGGAAGTCTTTCTTTACTTTAAAAAAAAACAACAAAACCCAAACCAAAAGATTATTTGCAGAAGGTGAATTCAATATAACTTTTCTCATTTTTACCACTTACTGAAAGTGGCCTTTTCCCTGAATTACAGGATTAGTTTTTAAAGCATAAATGTGAATTGTGTCCAACCCATGTTGGCATGTGTTGAGCACTGGATACTTAATTCACCTTCATGCCTTTGTCAGTCTCCCCCTGTGAGACTAATGATGCAGTTGCATTTACCGACCAGTTCTGGTTCTCCTCCAATGACCTTTGTATTGTATATTTTTATTTTAGTGTAACTGCCAACTGGTGTATTTATAAATCTCATCTTTTTTTTTTTTTCAATTTGGTTTGGTGATCTTGCATGGCACATACATTGCATTGTGGACACACAGACATTTTGAATGTGGATTGAAGTTGAGTTAAAATAAACATTCTTAAGAAGTAGAATAGGTTTCTTCCTACTTGATGTTAGATACTTTTAGGTATGCTTAGTTACAGACTCCATTGCTCAGATAATACTGTCTCAGCTAAAAATAAGAAAAATTCTGGCTGTTTAAAAATCCTTCTGGGAGTTACAGGGCTTGAATTACATAAGTCAAAATTGCCCATTTTTGTTAGACAAGCGATAGAACACATCTTTGTGGAAAATGTTGACATGATTTTAAAATCCAAACATATTTAGTGCCAAATGTAACACAATAAATGCAACAGCCAAGTGCAGCAACTCTAAAATGATGGAAATTTTCAATTTCAAGATTAGCTTTCTTTTCTACATGTAAGCTGTATGTGTGTGTCTTGAATTTGCTAAGTGGTTCTAGACCTTTTTTCTAGTAACAGTGAATCATGTAATTTGAGACTGCTTGTCTCTAGAAATCGATGTAGAGTTTCCTGCTGGAGATATTTTTCATCTTGAGCTCTGCAGTATGAGAATGCAGTACATTTGGACATGAAATTGGAAAGTGTTGAGTCTCTTCTGTAGAAGAATACCCAAGAGAAAAGCTACACTTTGTTAGTTTTCCAAGAAATTTTAATAATTACTGACTTTGAACTGAACTGCTCAAAAAAAAAATCACACGAGAAAAAAAATAAAACTGAATTAAAGACTAAGATGAAATCTGTCACTTGGGTGGTTGGTTTAACATTGGTCTGATTAATGGATCAAGCCTATCTTGAACCTTTCAACTTAGTCTGTATCCATAGTAACTTCTAAAATTTTAGGGGGAGGAAGCACTCAGTGTTGAGAAATTACAGCTCCCTTCAGCTTTGGTTGGCTATTCCATTTGTTTAGGTTCACCTTCTTTCTTCACAGGAGAGCTCAACATTGCTAAAAGTGTAATTTCCCCTTCCATGTGCCTTCAGTAAAATCAAGATAAAGAGAAGCTTTTAAATAAATTGAGCATTTATTAAGTACCTGTAGTAAATTCACTTTATTAAGAAAGTTCTTTTTTTTTTTTTTTTTTTTTTTAAACTTTGTTACAAAATAGCAAGGCATCATTAATATATCATGGCTCGACTATTTCTAATGTAATATAGCTGAGCATATGACTGTCTGAGACTACTGTAGTCAATGCAATTGTAACGGTCTGCTGAGGGGCTCAGTTACCACAGGGACAGCACTGTTTGCTTTAAATATTTTTTCTGACTTTTTAGAAATAGTTTTCATTACTTTTGCATTTGTTTTCTTCCAATATGGCCTTATCTCTTTAAAACAAACTTAATATAGCATTTGGGATTTGAAAATTAAGTTGAATGGCCAGAAATTGAGGTCTATCTGTCAATATTTTATAGGCTTTTATATTTTCCTTCTCTCTTTCAATGTCTTTCCTTCCTTCAAATAGTTCTGTTTTTGTTTGTTTTTTTTTTTTTTTTTTTTTTAATTTGGAGTATTTATTTATTTATCTATTTGTTTTTAGTTTTGGCCTTTGTGTTTTGATGGAAAAGTTTTATTCCATCTGTCTGGCAACAAAAATCATGACAGTGTTTTGAATTAAGATTTATTAAATCTGTAGTCAATTTAGATTTTAATAAGGCAATTGTGTATATGTGAAGTAATAATTGAAAACACTGTGGTTTGGCATTTATTTAAAAGATCTCATCTAATAATGAATTGAGATTAGAACTTACTGGAAATGTATCACTAAGTCTTTATTAAGTGAATTTAATTTAAAAAATATCCTCACTAAAGTATTTTATAATTAGGATGTTGTATTCCAAGCATTGCTTTCTATGAAATGGTAGACCTGTGATAAACTTCAGGGCCTGTTGTGGTCAAGTGGCAGTGTGTGTCATTTTCTAGAATTCATGTTTGGCCCCAGCCCTGTAGCTTAAAAATCTTTATTTGTATAATAATAATAACAATAAACCTGTAACTACCTATGCCATAGCTGCTTAGGAGGTTAAATATCTAATACAGATACTCCATTGTAAGCTAAAGCTCTTTTACTTACGGTTTTCCTTCTGTTCTTACTGTTTCCTCAGGGACTTTTCTGAGAGTTTTGGTCTCTCTTCTCTTTCCATTGGTTGTACAAATGATACTCCATCCACTTTAAGAACTTTTCACATCATAACTTTATTCAGCATCTTGCATCTGTCTCCTTCTTTTGTTAGCACTAGCACAGTCTTTGCCCCTCATGCGCCCTTGTGTCCTCAAGATTAGCTACAAAACCTGTAGTCTGTCTGGATTTTTGAAGTATCTCTCAGCTCAAGAAATTCTGGAAGGTGGTGCTTGATCATGACAGATTGGTGTGGAATGCCAATGCACACGTGAGGATGGCAGCATGAAGTCTGTAGCACCAATGCTGTTTTACTGACCAGCAGAGGTATGGGAGCAGCAGTTGGAAGGAGTGAGTGTGATGGGCATGAGGACAGTCTGGGGACAGGTGAAATTAGGAGGTTGTAGGGTAGAAGAGGCAGCGATCTGAGGAAAGAAGAGTGGGGGCTGTGGGTCAGAGTCCATGTGAAAGACTCAAGTATTTAATGCTTTGGACCAAGCAACAATTGTCACTCCCCAGGATAACCAACCTCGCAAGTTATGGGCCCAGAGGCTCCTTTGGAATGTTGCCTTAAAGACTGAGTTTGACCTCCAAAAGTAAAACACTAGCTGTAGTGAATCATCATCTGTTACTTTGACTTCTTAAATACAAAAGAATGCCTCAAGCAAAGATTACCAAGCCCTTCAATTGAGGAATGCCCTGTTTCCTTCCACAGCTTCAGTCAGCAGCTTCTCTTTGCAAAATATGATCATTATCTCTCCACCTTGAAGGTGTTCAGTGCAGTTCTCTTTCTTACACTTGTGGTTGCTGGTTTCCACTCATGCAGATCCCCTTGCATGTTCTCACTTCCCTTCCCTATAGTCAACTTCTCTTCACTCGTGTCCAAGATTCATATGGAGCAGAACTTGCTGTGAATTGTTATTAACATTACGAGAAATTGACCAGCAATCTTTTCCACTATGTGTACCTCAAAATATCTTTGTTATGAAGGGAGTTATGGATGGATAGTCA